TAACTTATCTCTCGAATTCTGCCCTTGTGATCCAGTAGTTGTTCATCTCTCTTTTTCTCAGCTTCTTTATTTTCCATCATTTGGTCTTCTATATCACTAATTCTCTCTTCTGCCTCATTTAGCCTAGCAGTTAGAGCCTCCATTTTTGATTGCACCTCATGAATAGCCCTTTTGATTTCAACTTGGTTAGATTTTAGTTCTTTTATTTCTCCAGAAAGGGTTTTTCTAATATCTTCCATGCTTTCTTCAAGCTCAGCTAGTATCTTTAAAATCGTTATTCTGAACTCTAGTTCTGACATCTTACTAATGTCCGTATTGATTAGGTCCCTGGCAGTCCTCGGTACTGCCTCTTGTTCTTTTTTTTTTGAGGTGATTTTTTCCATCTTGACATTTTATTTTAATTAGTAGATGGCTTGTTACATAAATCAAGGTCGTATTGAGCTGACATCCATATTTTATCTATGAATTTTTGTAAAGAGTCAAATCTCTGAGGGAATTCAAAGGCAGGGAGAAAATTTTAATGAAAGTATGGCAAATTTTGTCTCTGACATTTTTGTACAGAACCAAAAATACCTTGGTTAGAGGTTTTGGAAAAAGAAATGAAGCTTGCTTTGAAAACGTGAACTCTCCTAGTAAAAATACTTGCTATATTTCATAAATTCTGAGGTACTCAAATTTTTACATTTTAACATCTCAAATTAGGTTGCATCTTTCAAAAACTGTTGATGAACTGGTTGCAGTTTAATTGGCAGTGTTTTTCCTTCTTCAGTGTTATGTAAAATAATGGTAGATCTCATCATCAGTGGATGAAATCAGTAGGCTTGAAACATTCTCTTGTGGTTGGATAGAGTCCAAATACGTACCTTTATTGATAAACATGATATTTTGAATCTGTTTCCTCCCAGTTCCCCTTGGAATTGTTTTTGTGGCTCAGAGCCACTAGTACCACAGATGGCGGGGATTTTACTCTTTTGTACTTCACAAGCTGCAGACGCCACCGTGGGCTGATTCCGAGACCCCCAGGCTGTTGTGTTTAAACCAACTCCAAAAGTAATCCATGTAAAACTAGATGGCCTAAATTTCCTGTCTCCTGTATAGAGACGTACATTTTACCATGTCTGCAAAGTACTAGATGCCCACAGCCCTGACTTGTCCAGTCACAGTATGGTCACTCTTTAGATACCATAGTGTTGATGGATGGTGGTGATTTTCCACACTGGTAAGCCTGGTGTCTGATGCCACAGGCCTGAGGTGACTGGGTGTCACTAGGCTGGCTCTCAGCCACATAAGCAGGAACACTGGCAGGTATTGGTGTTCTCCCTAATAACCTTGTCCTGTGGAACCAGCTTCCCAGAACTAACCCAGGAAATCGCCCAGAGTGACAAGAAGTACCACTGATACGTTGGAGAATCAGCAACATTAAAGGTTCTCATGCTTTTGATCTGCCTTGTGTTTGTTTGACAACAGATTCAACTCGGTCTATCCCCAAATAGATTTCTTAACTGCCCCCTCCAGCAGATGAAAGAATAAAAAATCCTGCTTATTAGCATATATTTCCACAAACACCATCATAACTCTGTGTTCCCTTCCTCCCCTTGCATTTCCCCTTTACTTCTCAATTTTGTGATGAAATTGGAGACCTCTTTCTTTTAATCCTTAGCATAACCCTTTCTAGCACTTCCCACTAACAGTAGTGACAGTTTTTAACATCTGAAAGGGTCATTAACCAGTGGTTGTACTTTAATGGTTACAACCTCATGGTAAGACTTCTAGCACTTGGGGTGCCTGGGTGGCTCATTCGGTTAAGCGGGTGCCTTTGGCTCAGGTCATGATCCCAGGGTCCTGGCATCGAGCCCCGCATCAGGCTCCCTGCTCCGTGGGAAGCCTGCTTCTCCCTCTCCCACTCCCCCTGCTTGTATTCCCTCTCTCACTCTCTCTCTGTCAAATAAATAAATAAAATATTAAAAAAAAAAAGACTTCTAGCACTTGATTAAAAACAAACAAGAAAGAAAAAAAGAAAGAAAATATCTAGGAAATCATAATAAATAGAAGTGTTTTATCTGCTCATGATTTCTTTGGGAATGAAGGGTAGCAGAATAAGGCTAGGTCTTTGCCTTATGAGGCCTTTGTGAAAAATGATACAGTTCATTTGGACTAGTGCAAAGAAATCCTTTTTTTTTTTTATATTTCTGGGTGTCTTTTTTTTATTTTTTAATGACAGCTTTACTGAGATATAATTCACATTCCATATAGTTCACCCTACATGTACTATTTAATTGTTTTTAATATATTAATAGAGTTTTGCAAAATTATCACTACCATAAGTATGAGAACATTTTTATCATGGTGGACAGATTTTGGAGGTTCTTTTTTTTTATTTAATTTTATTATGTTATGTATATACAATGGAATATTATGCAGCCATCAGAAAAATGAAATCTTGCCATTTGCAACGATGTGGATGGAACTAGAGGGTATTATGCCAAGCGAAATAAGTCAATCAGAGAAAGACATGTATCATATGATCTCACTGTTATGAGGAATTCTTAATCTCAGGAAACAAACTGAGGGTTGCTGGAGTGGTGGGGGATGGGAGGGATGGGGTGGCTGGGTGATAGACATTGGGGAGGGTATGTGCTATGGTGAGCGCTGTGAAGTGTGTGAGACTGATGAAATCACACACCTGTACCTCTGAAACAAATAATACATTTTATGTTAAAAAGAATAAAAAAGAAGATAGTAGGAAGAGAAAAATGAAGGGGGGGAATCAGAGGGGGAGATGAACCATGGGAGATGATGGACTCTGAGAAACAAACTGAGGGTTCTAGAGGGGAGGGGGTAGGGTGATGGGTTAGCCTGGTGATGGGTATTAAAGAGGGCATGTATTGAATGGAGCACTGGGTGTTATTCGCAAACAATGAATCATGGAACACTACATCAAAAACTAATGATGTAATGTATGGTGATTAATGTAAGAAATCCTATTCTACCAGCTATCTTGATGTGGTTTGAACTGATTGCAGTGATACATTTAATTAAAGTAAATGTTCTTTTTCTTTAATGACTGGATTCATAGAGCTAAATGTGAGGGGGAAATCTTTGATACTCTTGCTACCTCTTTTTAGAATACTGTTTTTTTTTTTTCTTCTGTTACTTAAAGTCTAAATATCTTTAACCATTATGATGGTACCAATTAGTTAACCAAGAAGTTAAACCACTTACTTTGGGGACATTTAATCTTACTACAAAGTAAACTTTATTACCCCCCCCCAAAATGTTCTTGAATCAAGTAAGGTTCATTGATGTTGATAATAGTCAAGCATTGGTGGCTGTTGGAGTGACATTACCATATAATTTTGCCATCTATCCACGTCATTTTAGCAGAAAAGAGTATTTAACCGACAGAGCCATCCAAGTGCCCCAGAAAAGAGTATTTAAAGAGGAGATAATTAGGTGGCAAATATGGCAAGTTTCTGTTGTTATAGAGTTCATTTAAAATTACTGGAATGTGGAACCCTTGTATCTTTTCTACCTGGAAAATAATTTTCTTCTTTTTATTTCTTATGAAGTGGGCCAGATGGAGAACATATCCCCAGGACAGATCGTTGATGAACCCATCCGTCCAGTCAACATTCCCAGGAAAGAAAAGGATTTCCAAGGAATGCTGGAATACAAGAAGGAGGATGAACAAAAGCTTGTTAAGAACCTGATTCTGGGCAAGTATTTTCTGCATGGGATAGAAGGTCTTTCTGGTACATGTGTCAGTTGTGGGAAAGACTAGTCACTAATTTTTAGAATATTCAACACTGGTTAATTGCATCATCATTGCACACTGTTCATTATCCTGCTGTAGCGTCCTGACCAGTCCTGCCTTATCAATCAAACTACAGGGAGACTTGCCCAGGATCCAACAGGCCTTCTTAACTCTGGCTACAGATTAGAACATCTGGAGAAGCATTGATGTATGGTCCCTACCATAGACTCATTACATTACAGTCTCTAGAGGGAAGAGCCTGGCCAGGTCAAATACATTTTTTTCAATCTTTCAGAGGATTCTGAAGTGTATCCACAGTTGAACACTACTGCTCTGGGCCATTTAACTTCCCAAGTTTCATTTTTTTCCTTGCTTCCTTTCACAACTAAATATGTCAAGAACAACACTTTGGTAATAGGGGAAAAAACAAAAGAATTAAGGGAAAGATTCCAGCTGTGGAAGGAGAGGACTGGACAAATGAAATGGACACGGAAGAAGCATTTTAGAGAAGCGTAGGGTCAAGATGGGGCATAAGCCCATTGGTTCTGCAAGAAGACTCTTTAGGGAGGGTGGGAAATGAGTTGGGAATACACACATCCTGAAAGTTGTGAACTAAAAAAGGGAAAAACCTCTCTGTTCAGCCTTTGCATAGCATTCCTCCTGGCAGGTGTGGGCTGACAGCATTGTGATTGGCAGTTATACCTGATTTAATGTTCTTGGGGTTCATGGCATTAAACCAAGTACTATATATAGGTGCAGAGGCACTTAAGTTTCACCATGATCTTCATTTAGCAAAAATGTTAAGAAGCCAGTGGTTTTTAAGCATAGAGTTAACAAAGATTCATCAATTCAATAAACATTTAGTGAGCTCCTACCAAATGCTAAACATTTTCTAGGTACTGGGTAATGAATAAAGTAATTCATGATCCCTATTCTCATAGATCTTACATTGGGGGGCTTGGGGAGAGTAGAGAAAAAATATACATATAATGGGGTCAAAGGAGAAAGAGTAAAGACAAGTGTACTAGTTTACATAAAGTTGTCAGGAAGGTTCTTTCATAGATCTTTGGACAGAGATCAAAGGAAGTAAGGAAGCAAATCATACTGACATCTGAGGAAAGAACATTTGAGGCAGAAAATAGTAAGTACATAGGCCCTGGGGTGGGAGCATGCCTTACATGTTCAGCCAACAGCAAGGAGACTCATGTCGAGTTAAATTAGATGAATGTCTTCTTGCAGTTAGGATGAGAGGGAGAAATGTTACTAGAGCACAGTGAGCTGGGGAAGGGGAACAGGGCCAGATCACACAGACCATAGTGAAGATTTTTGATTTTATAAATGACAGAAGTTACTTGGAAGATTTTCAGAACAAGAGTGGCATTTGTGTATAGAATAACTCTGGTCATTGTGTGAAAAAAGGTACTACTGGGGAGCAGGGGATGAATCAGGAGACTAGTCTGGAAGCCATCACCACAGTCCAAGAGAAGATGTTGGTGGCCTATTGTAGGGTAGCTAGTAGAGTAAGTAAGTTTCTGGATGTGTTTTATAGGTAGAGCCAACAGGATTTATTGTTGGATTAGACGTGTGGTGTGAGAAAACAAATGAGTCAAAGATATTGACAAAGCTTATAACCTGAGAAGCCAGAAGTCTGGAACAGCCTCTTTACTGAGATGGGAACAACTCCTGGAAGGAGAGAATCATTGGTTTCATTCGGGATGGACTCAGTTTGACGTGCTTAAGGAGAGGTGTCAAGATGACAGTTGATACATGAAACTGGAGTTCAAGTGAGAAGTCAGGGCAAGAGATATAAATTTGGGAGTTCTAAGATTCACATGTCCCCACCTTTAATTTCTCCACTTGATGAGCTATTAAAATATGCTTTTTAAATATGACCTCTTAACCCTGAATGATTGAATTCTTTTATGAGAACTGTGCTTTTCTATCTCACAAAGCATTCCTCATGAAGATTTTCAATGTTATATAAGATTATTTTTCCTCATTTCCTTTCAGAACTGAAGCCACGTGGGGTGGCAGTCAATTTGATTCCAGGGTTACCAGCATATATCCTGTTCATGTGTGTTCGACATGCTGACTACCTGAATGATGATCAGAAAGTAAGGTCGTTGCTAACATCAACAATTAACAGCATCAAAAAAGTATTAAAGGTCAGTTCATGTTCAACAAAATTCTCGTAGTGAACATAAATGATGACAGAATCTGCACCGAGGTCTTTTCCTTCGTTAGGTCGGGGCTAAGTTGCAGATATGAACACTTTCCAGTTTTCACTGAAAACTCCCACTGTAGGAAACAGTCTTTCTTGTAACATGTCTATATGCCTTCTTGTACAGTGGGGCTCAGGTTGAACAGTAATCAAAATTAATTTGATGTAATTGCATTAAATTGCAGAGTAAATTAAGTTTCTTCATAAACAGAAATAGTCTGTTTTGAGACCTTACAAGTAAATTAAAAATATTTAGTGTGGTCCATATATATAGGGAATATGACGCTCTAGTTAAAAAGGTATTAAAGAAGTTCAGTACAACATGGCTTGTTCGTAAAGATGTCTGATAAAACATTAAAATTTTTCTTCCACCTTTTCTTCCTGTTATTCTCCAACTCACCGCATAATTTTCCTTGTTACCTGAAATGCCTGGTTCCATGTGAGAAGCAGCACACATACACTAAGCAGAGAGGAAAGACTTGGATAAGGCAGCAGACTTATGTAACAGAGCAGAAAGCCCTGCCTAATTCAGTAATCACTGACTCACCTCGCATAATCCTCCTCTTGCCTCTCTAGAAAAACAATGAACATTAACTCACGTGTTTCTGTGAGGTACTGAGAGAATGTGCTCCAAGTACTTTGCTTTCTGATTATCTAACTGAAGTTGGATGAGAACATTTAGGACAGAGATAAGTGGATAGTTAACATGCACACTGGACGCTCTCAAATCTGAGGTGTCTTTCATGCACTCTTTTGTTTTAATTGTGGTAAAACATACGAAACATTAAATTTACCGCTTAACCATTTTTCAGTGCATAGTTCAGTGGCATTAAGTGCGTTCGCATTGCTGTGCAGCCATTATCGCTGCCCACCTCCAGAACTTTTCCATCTTCCCCACCTGAGGCTCTGTCCTCATGAAACACACCCTCCCTGCAACCCCTGGTAGTGAACCTTTGACAAACGTGGGTTCTCCATCCCTACGGGGCAGATATTGTATGGAGTTAGCTTTACAGGGGTTCCGAAAGCATGGAGTTTCTGAAAATTTAACATTTAAAAAGTGATGAATGTCTTCTGATATAACTCATTTCATTTTTGTTGTATTGATGCTATAGTACATTTAGCCTGCAAGCTTTACTAACTTTTAAGTCACCTCCTACAAAGACAGCAAAACCAACTCATGTTTTCTCCCTCTCATCCTAATTGCATGAAGATATTTATCTAATTTGACTAAATTATTATAGCACATTGTTTAAAAATTAAAAAGGAGTGGGTACTAGCATACTGATGCCATTTTGTTGTTGTTGTTGCCATTCAGAATTGATGTTTGTCTCCAGTCCCAGTTTTGAATTGAAGTGTATTTGCCTCGAGTCCCTGTTCAGATTTAGCAGCCGGTTGTTTGACAGGAGCCCTGGTCCTGATGCAGAGCCATTCAGCCTCCCTCTCTCCTCTTCTGCACAGGACTCCCTCCACCCCATTTCTGATTCTCTGCCCAGGAGTTGTATCTTATCATCGACCAGATTTGTCACCTGAGCTGGGTTTCATTGCTTCATAGTCTGTGATTCCCTTTTGTGCTTTTAGTCCTTTCTGATCCCCTGAGTAATCCTGAGGGAAGTGAGTTCGGGTAAGCTGTAGTTTGATGAATTTTTTTCTGCCAAAAGGCACTGCTAAGCTCACATCACCTGAATGACTGGGCATCCTTTTCTAACGGCAAGAAAACAGATGCCAGGCAAAGTAACAACCAACCAACAAACACAGGGTTGAAATTTTCTAGCAATGATGTAAGACTTTACAATTGCAATGTGATTTATTTTTGTAATTATAATGTAACTGAAAGAAGTGGGCCTTCTGGTGTCTTTCAGTTACTTTCAGGTTGCTATTTCCCTACGGAAAAGTGAATTTAGCTTTTTTCTCTCTTTCAGAAAAGAGGTGATGATTTTGAAACCGTGTCCTTCTGGCTCTCTAACACATGCCGATTTTTGCACTGTTTGAAGCAGTACAGTGGCGAGGAGGTGAGGAAACCTTGATCACAAAACCAGCAGGATGTACTTTCTCTGTTCTCTTTAAGGAAAAGATTAAAAGCATGGAACATTTAACAATTTGTTAATTTAAAGATTTTATTTATTTGAGAGAAAGAGAAAGAGAGCAAGTGAGAGAGAGAGAGCACGAGCGAGGGGAGGGGCAGAGGGAGAGGGAGAAGCAGACTTCCCGCGGAGCAGGGAGCCTGTTGTGGGGCTCAGTCCCAGGACCCTGGGATCATGACCTGAGCCAAAGGCAGACGGTTAACAGACTGAGCCACCCAGGCGGCCCCCATTTGTTAATTTAGAAAGCTGAATTCAGAGGTGGGTTGGAAGCTCATAGCTTTGTTTGATGTTCATTGTTTATGAAACCGTGAATTGGAGAGCAACATAGTTTCTTCCATCTGAGAGTTTGTATTATGAGAAAGCATAGCGGAAATAAAACGGGCATTAGTTAATGAATTATTACAAGCCATGAAACCTCTTGTCAGTATGTGGAAGTGGGCTTTTCAGGGGACTGATAATAAGAAATATTGAACTATTTAAAGAAATTCATCTATTTTGGCTTTCCATAATACGTAAAAGGTGATCAAACTGAGGCATATCTCTTTAGATTGGCCCAAAAACCTATTCTGCTTTTATTTGCAGTGATAAGTTCATCAGGTGTTTGATAGACTTCAAAACTATGTAATATATTAATAATTATTCTTTGTTAAGATCTACTCAGTATGTATCAGACAGCACTTCCTATACACTCTGTTATCTAATTCTTACAGCATCTCTGTGAGGTAGGAATTACAACCCAGTTTTACAGACGAAAAACTGAAGTTGGGTGATGTTCATCAATTTGCCCAGGTCCTCTTAGTCAGAAGGAGCAGAGCTGGGGTTCTGGGGCTGCCGCCTCTGCAGCCTGTGCCCCTACCCACGGCTGTCCATGCCTTCCATTTTTTGCCTGGAGGGCAGGCAGAGAAGCTGACCAGTAGCATTTTCTGGGCACCCAGAGGCTAGGGCAGAGGACTGTCCTGGCACATGTTGGAAGGCATAAAAATGAGTAAGGTGCAGTCCCTGAGAAGGTGGGACAGACAGACTAGAATTCCTCTGAGGGGCCATTAGCTGTCCTATCAGTCCCCACTTCTAGACCGTGTTGTCAGGTAGTTTGTAGGGAGGCTGATGCTTGGCTTTGGGTAGAATCCATCAAGTAGGCAATGTCTGACAAAAGGACCTGCCTGTACAGTTGATTTTCCATTTTAACTAATGCCACCAAAAAATTCTGTTCTAAGCTTGGATTGAAAATCATGTATGGTCACCATGAAATATAATAAAGGGAAATTTTTTATTTATTCACTGATCTCGGTAGAAATTGGTCTGTTTTAAAAAGATTGTGTATGCCCTTCAGGTGCAGTATTTATAAATAGGACTATATTTAATAGAACTGAAGTTAAGAGATTAGTACTTGAGATAATTTAGTGTCTGGCAGTAAATGTGCTACGTCATAAGTGAAAACGCTCATTACTTTTTTTTTTTCCCCCAAATTAAGTTCCCCCATCTTGTTTCACTGACATAGCTATTGGAAGGGCTTAACTGCTAGCTAGCCAAGTTGAGATATTATTCAAAAGCTGATAAGTGGAAGGGGGTTACGATGGAAACAAACACAACAGAGCGTTTGAGAATGACTGGCATTCAAGAGTGGAACAGATGGAAACTCTTCAGAGGAAAGACAGGAGGGGAATCTGATCAAACAAAGGAGTTAGGAGAGACATTTGATTTCATGGGTGTCAGTAACTTTGCTTTCTGGTTCTAGGGCTTTATGAAACACAACACATCTCGCCAGAATGAACACTGCCTCACCAATTTCGACCTGGCTGAGTACCGGCAGGTGCTAAGTGACTTGGCTATTCAGATCTACCAGCAGCTCGTGCGGGTGTTAGAGAACATCCTGCAGCCAATGATCGGTAAGGCGAGGGCCGGGCTGACGTCAAGGTCTGTCTGCCTCACGTGCACAGCAGCGACACTTGTTTGGAGGCATGTCTTGATACAAAGAACATAAAGTAGTAAGACTCAGTCCTGAAATTGGCTGAGGGATCCCAGAACCCCAGCCATGACTAATTGGGATACATCAAAATCACTGCTTTCACATGATTGAAATGGCAGTATCTAGTGAATCTCCCCACTGGGTGATGCCTCTCCCTTGAATTTAGGTTCTGCTTTATACCCAGCAATGTACCTCATTCCTTGTCCAGTTTTCAAAAACACTTTAAACTTTGGTCTAGGAAACTGCTACACAGGGCCTCCTCGGGGCCCACCTAAAACAAAGGAGGCTGGGGAGAGTTTGCCCTTTGCCTATTAGGTTACAGTCAAAGGGCTGGGGAGGGGGGTACCATGGCAACAAGACTAGGTCTCGGCCACTCCATGATGAGTTAGACATCTCAAGGGCCCCATGGAATTGTCAAAGGCAAGCAGTGGTTTCTCATTGGATAACTGACTGGGGTGTGCATGTGTGTGTTTCTATATGTGTGTGTTCAACTAGGTGTGTGAGTCTCGTACCTCTCTTTATATTCGCGTACTTACTCTGGGTGTGTATTTATGTACTGCACTACCTATATTCCTTGGCATATGTAGCATGTATGAAGTAGGAAGGAGGCATATATAAATTGCAGGCTGCTAATTTTGAATGAATTGAATTAAATTTGTTTTAAGATATCAAACTGTTATCTTCAGGCAAATTATTAGCAGCTTTTTTTTCTTTTAAAGATTTTATTTATTTATTTGACAGAGAGATAGCGAGAGAGGGAACACAAGCAGGGAGAGTATGAGAGGGAGAAGCAGGCTTCCCGCAGAGCAGGGAGCCCCATATGGGGCTTGATCCCAGGACCCTGGGATCATGACCTGAGCTGAAGGCGGACGCTTAACTGACTGAGCCACCCAGACGCCCCTATTAGCAGCTTCTTAAGGCTACTCCCAGCTACCCTTTCTTTTCCCACCCATGTGTTTTCCACATTCCCACAACTTCTTCATTGCCCTTAGTATTCTGTCTTCCATCGCAGACCCACAGTTAGCCAACCAGAAACATAAAAGGCTGAGGAAGCCATGGGAGACAGCAGTGATTTTTCTCAGGGGATGACTTCAGGGGTCAGTTCTTCAGTTGTCCCCTAACAGGTGTGTATTCAAAGCAATGTAGGTCAGCTTGTAACAGGTGACACAGTTGCAGAGAAGATCAACTTCAGCCAATATATCCTCTACTTTTGCCTATTTTTATTGGCTAAACAGGAAGCTTACCCCTGAGATGTCCCACTTTAAACCACTGCCCCCATCTCCCAGTGATTTGATAAAACCGCCAATGTTTTGTGTCAGTGTGAGGTTCTGTGGAAGCTTTGGTTAGCACTGTGAGCTATAAAATGACTAAGAGATATAAAAATGAATCAGGAGTGGCCCCTGTTCTCAAGGGGCTGCCAGGCCAGGGGCTGGTCATCCCACAACCATCCTAGAGGAGGCATAAGCCAAACACTGTGAGGGCGCAGTGGGCGGGGCGGGGGTCAGGGAGCAGTGCCCCAGATTTGGGAAGACTGAGTTCCGGGAGGCTGAGACTAACCCAAGGCCTCCCCTGCTACTGTGGGAAGCTTGGGGCAAGGAAGGGCCTGGTTTTCCAGCCCCACATAACCATCCCCTTCCAAGGCTTCTCCACGACCACTGCCCAGTCTCCTGCTGTTCTTGCTACTTGGTTTGCCTGTGGGGCTTGGATGTACCTGGAGAATCTCTTCTCCTTTCCCTAACTGGTGCATCTTTCTCAAAAACCCTCCCAAGATATCACAAGCTTGTGCTAGTACAAGGCGGCTGCTTTGTATTTTAGAAAATGCACCATTAAGATTTCTCAATTTCATGGGAAATTTTTGCATTTAAGAATTATTCCTGGGGCGCCTGGGTGGCTCAGTCATTAAGTGTCTGCCTTCGGCTCAGGTCATGATCCCAGGGCCCTGGGACCGAGCCCCACATTGGGCTCCCTGCTCAGTGGGAAGCCTGCTTCTCCCTTTCCCACTCCTGTTTGTGTTCCCTCTCTCACTGTGTCTCTCTCTGTCAAATAAATAAAATCTTAAAAAAAAAAAAAAAGAATTATTCCTTCATTAAAGTTTAAAATCTGGAAGCCCTTTTTCGGAAAGTTCTTTTCCCCTCTCTTTTGATACTCAGATCACTTTCCTAAGTTGAATGCATGAGAATACGTGTGTGCATGTGTGAGCAGGTGTGTATGCACGTGTAACAGGCGTCTTCTAACGCTTGAACTCCTCCTGCAGTCTCTGGCATGCTGGAGCACGAAACCATTCAGGGTGTGTCTGGCGTGAAGCCCACAGGGCTCAGAAAGCGAACATCCAGCATCGCAGACGAGGGCACCTACACACTGGACTCCATCCTTCGGCAGCTCAACTCCTTCCACTCGGTCCTGTGTCAGCACGGCATGGACCCTGAACTGATCAAGCAGGTGGTCAAGCAGATGTTCTACATCGTTGGGGCCGTCACCCTGAACAACCTCCTCCTGCGCAAGGACATGTGCTCCTGGAGTAAAGGCATGCAGATCAGGTGAGCAGAGAGCACCTGCGCTGTTGTCCACTCCCGGCCCTACTGCTGGCCGCGGTGCAGGGTCCGATGGCTTGTTTGCGGTCAGGGTAGCTGATGTCTGCTGCCACCAGCCACCCAGCGGGGAAGACCCCGCATGGAGCTGTCTTCTCTTGCCTGGCTGGACCTCTCCACTTTCATGCGGTACTGCTCCAGACCGTGCCTTTCAACAGGTTCTCCCCTCCACTAGCTGGGAACCCTGCTTCCCCGGGACACTGATTTGTTGGAGGGAATGGAGAGATGATAAAAAATACTTCGAGTTGAGATAGCTGCTTCCTCACCTTTTGCGTGTGTTTTTAATTGTACCTAACAAAATACTGAATTCTTTTATCATGAAGATTTCTAATGTTTGCTTTCTCTTAGAAATTTATTTTGACAAAACACCTTTTTGTACCATGGCAACAAGAACATGTCTAATAGACCTCTTACTAACCGGAAACATGCCCCGGTATCTTTTACAAAAATGTGCACTCAGTTTTTATGCCCAGTTACTCCTCAGCATTTTTTTTGCAAACAATTTATTTTCTTTTTTTAAAAGATTTTATTTATTATTTGAGAGCAAGAGAGAAATAGCGAGAGAGAGAGCACGAGCAGGGGAGAGAGGGAGAAGCAGATTCCCCACTGAGCAGGGAGCCCAACTCAGGGCTCGATCCCCCTGGGATCATGACCTGAGTCAAAGGCAGGTGCTTAACCAACTGAGCCACCCAGGCGCCCCAGCAAATCGTTTATTTTAAAACAGAATATTCACCAAGAGAGGAAAAAAGAATCTCTCCTACATAAGTCTTTAGTTAATCTCAGGAAACCTTGGCATTCTTTTCAAATTTTCCATTCTGACACGCATGCATTGTAGTTAAATTAAGAAGATAATCCTTTCATTCAGGTAGTGGAATTTATTTCTCTTTAAGGTTTGTTTATGTATTTCTCTATACATGTGAAGCACTGTTATAATATCAGACTGCCTCCTACTTGCCTGACTGCAAAGTTAAGTTCTCATCGTGTGTCCATTTAGCATTTTAGCATGAGAACCACTGTCGCCTGGTTGATCACTTCTTGAAACCTCAACATCTGTGTAATTTCTACATCTCTCTCCACATTTGGGATCATGTCTCTTCCAGTGCTCCCCCTCCCCCACTTACCTTCTCTCCTTCCATCCCTGGGCTACCTCAGGCCACTACTCCGTCACTCAGGCTCTTCCCTAAACAGGGCTGCCACACAAGGTCTGTGTGGGGGCATCTTGTTTTTCGTGACTACCGTGGAGTCTAACTGAAGGAGGAAGGGGTACTTGAAGTTTATCGATTCTCTCCTCTGATGTTGTAAGACAAACTGGGAAGCGATTTCTGGTCAGCTGTTTAATAAGGACATGGCCATGTTGGATGTTCTGTTTTGTCTTTCAGCAGGTTTTATTTCATAATTTTTGCTGTAATGGCTCTATTTCTACCTTCCATTGAAGTTAATTATATCATCCAGTCATTTACTCTTATATAATTATGATTATAAACCTCATGGCTATAATAAAATTTTAAGCACAGCTGGTAAAATTTAAGAAAATTGAACAAAAATACTGCCTGTCATTTTAACTGAGATTCCTGACAAAGCCATACCTAAAAAATGAAGACATCTATGACGACATTCAGTAAATTTGCATTCTCTCCCTCTCTCTCTCTTTGTGGCACAGGTACAATGTCAGTCAACTGGAAGAATGGCTGCGTGACAAGAATCTGATGACTAGCGGGGCTAAGGAAACCCTGGAACCTCTCATTCAGGCTGCTCAGCTCTTACAAGTGAAAAAGAAGACAGATGATGATGCAGAAGCTATCTGTTCCATGTGCAGTGCTCTAACTACTGCCCAGGTGAAGCGCCTCCCCCTGCTGAGAGACCCTGTAGCATTCAGCAAGGGTGATGCTTAGGGAAGTAAGGAGTCCCCCCGCTGGCCGTTGCTCTTGTCTTCACGTGTGTCAGAGAAGACACAGATCTATACAGATCTTAAAGAAAGGAGATTTTACCTGAAAGTAATACATTTTGGTGGGAGTCACAGTCATCTGCAGTCCACATTCAATAAATCTTTATTGTTTACATGTTCTGCATAATGCTGTGGGCACCGAGATACAACCAAGAACAAAACAATGCCCTTGCTTTCATGGGGTATACATTCTCTGCATTCTGTGCAGCCTGTATTCCAAAAAGTAATTTTCCGTATTATTTGATAACTGAATGATATTAGACTTCTCTATTTTTAAGACAGATCATTCTTGTTCCTTCATTTCAATAAATGACTCATGGGGCTCCTATCTCAAGGCACCATACCTGTTGCTGGGGAGATACTTCAAAAAATAAGAAACAATCCTTCCCTAAAAGGAATTTTCCAGTAGTAGGCAAGGCAGATGTACCCTGCTGATTCTACTATATGAGGTTCAAGCAAATTCTATAGTAAGATGTCTAAAGGAAGTGCCGAGGGGCGATAACTGTGTTCAAGGAAGGTCCCATTAGGCTGGGCATTGAATTTAAGGAAGTGAGAAGAGGGGAAGGGCATTTGAGGACAGGGGCAACAGCACGAGGCAAGGCCCGTTTTTCTTTTGCCAGTTATTTCTGTGCTGACTCCTGGGCTTGCTTAATGTTCTTTACGTGTCTTGTAGTATAGACATCTTACCTAGATTTTACCTAGGATAAGTATAGAAAGCAGCTGGGTGGAAACAAGGGACACCATCAACAGTAGCCACTAGGGTAGACGGAGAGGATTGAGTGGGACACTTTTCCTTTTCATGTAGTGTTCTTTTTGTAGTTTGTTGTTTTTCCAAATTTATATTACTTCTTAAAATGTATAAATGTTACATCAATACATTCTTATTTTAAAAATTCACATAGTAAAGGTTAACTATGCCTTTAGACCAGCTCTCTCTCCCCTTATCCCAACCCAGCCCTGAGTAGAATTACAAACTATCTGCATAGATCCTTTTACTTTTCCAGATTGTAAGCACCCAGTGTGTGTTTGATAATATGCTGAAAACTTTGATCATTTCATTCTTACAGATTGTCAAAGTGTTGAATTTGTATACTCCAGTTAATGAGTTTGAAGAAAGAGTCTCTGTATCATTTATTCGTACTATACAGGTAAGATCTCCCAGGCTTTCTTTTTCTTTGATTCACAAGCACAGTTTTTTGAATGAAAATTTTGCAGTTTATTGAGAAAAAATGTGTTTTATTATTGTATTATCTCATTTTAACAGTGCATTAACTTTTTGATAACAGCTTATTAGAAAAAGGAAGTGATTTTAAAACAAATATAAACATTCTTTATTAGTTGAGGACTTTTTGGTAGATTTTTGGTGGGGGAAAAAATCTTTATAGGTTCGGAGAACTGATGCTCTGTTTTTTGTTTTTTTAATCTCAGATGCGTTTACGAGACAGGAAAGACTCTCCTCAGCTGCTCATGGATGCGAAACACATCTTTCCTGTCACCTTTCCTTTTAACCCATCCTCCCTTGCACTAGAAACCATCCAGATTCCAGCCAGCCTGGGCCTGGGATTCATATCACGGGTCTGAAGGTGATGTGATGTCAAGGCAAACAGTGACAATAAGAACCCATTATTTCCAGTGAACTACTGAAAAGACATTTTTAAAGAGACAGTACTAATTATCTTTCAAATGAGAGGTTATTAACTGGAAATCTCCCTAAATACTTTCATTGTCTTGGAAAGAACGATAGGCTTCTTTGTGTTACTGTACCAGCAACAGTCACCCTGGACCAGTTAGGTATCCCGAGGTACATGCAGGTGAATGACAGAAGGAAAAGGGAAAAAAAGGTCTCCAGCTGCCAGCATTTATTTTAAATCCTTAGCACTGCATCTAAATGGTATGGTAAAAATGTAAATTCCAGGAATGAGCTGTTGTTAGGAAGGTACCTACAAAGAGCCTCCTCTACGCGGACCAGAAGAATTGAAAGAAAAATTGCCATTGAGTACATATCATATCAGTTTAGGAATCAGTTATGTTGATGTTGTCAAACTGGATCAAAGAAATAAACTGGCAGTATGTAAAGTACTTGGTCAAGAAAATTCCTTATATGTGTCACTATGATACAGAGATATTACGAGAATGCTGGTTTGCCATATAGCATAGAAGTCCATTTGTACTGTAGTTTACTGGGCATTTTAAATTGCTGCTACATACTGTGTTCTTTAATATATAAACGATATTCCTATTAGGCACTACAACAATAAGCTTCTCTTATCAACTCTGTTTACAATTCAGTCAGATCAGTTTTAACTGGATTATGTGCAAATATATACAGATTCACCTGCACAAGTAGCAGACACTGGGAAGTCATGTAGTAATATGACAAAATGTTTGACATTTAGGGATAGGATTAGACAAAGTGGCTGTTGATGTCATTATTTATTCAGAATGTATTACATTGATGTGCTCATTCATTTTCCCTGGGTGGATATCACATCAGGGTACAGTGTTCTGTGAAGTGACTTATTTTTAGTTCCCAGACCAGATTCCTGCACTGCATATTTTCAATCCTGACAGGTTTTCTTTCTTCTTCTTAATTTATTAAGAATTAATCTCAGTCACTATCTAAAGAAGATTCAGGTCTTGAAACCTCGATTATCCTATAAATTATGCAAAAGAAGGTGTATAATAAATACTATGGTTCCATTTTTTTTAGGCTTTGCAACTTCTGTAAATGTTCTCAGTACCACTAGATACTTTAAGGAGCATCGTATTAGGAATACTTTAAGACTTATGTAAGAAATATAAGAAGATTGCTAAATTTTACAGAGGATATGCTTCAATAAGACCCAGATCCTATAGGTTTCATTCTGAAATCCTAATTAAACATATTCTCAATTTTTCCTGGAAATCCTAGACAGTGGGTCTTTCAGATTGTGCAAGAGCAAATTCTTAACTTTCATTAGAAACTCTGGTTCTGAATCACAAACATAGATTTATATAACTTAACTGTTAGATGGTCTATGAAAAATGACATCTTCTTAAAACGTGCAATATTAATGGAAGTCAGTTTCAAATCATGATAAAGATTGTTATTAAAAGATAAACACTGTTAACTTATTTGGGCCTCACATTCCTCGTTTATACAATAAGAGGGTTGGACCCTTCCACATCTAAAATTTCTCTTCTCTTGGCACTTGGATTATAGAGAAACTAGATGCAGTTACTCAGTAAGTTCACCCTCAAATAGAAAGATCAGTGTTTGGTGCCTCTTAATCCTGGGGGATTAATTAAATGTAAAATTACAAGTTGGTGTAGCTATAACTCTTCTTAAGTGTACATGATTTACATGCTTTTTGAACGTGAATTAGTTTGGGTAATTTTTATTGAATCATGTACTGCTGCATTCAGGTTAGATACATTTATTTATTTGCAAAATCAGCCAAAAACACTGCTGATTCAATCAGGTTCTCTTACTTTTCCCCAGTTGTCAATGTGGTTTTCAATGAACTGACTCATTGCATAGGGGAGATGCTAAAAAAAAGTGCCACCAAGGTGTAGGCTGTCCACCTCGGACTGGGAAATCCTCTCAGGCTCTTCCCCAGCTTAGTCCCTGTGTAACATGTCCTGCGCACACCCTGAATCTTGTCAGGTCTTCAAGAGCACACTGTAGCTTCTACTGCCATTGCAGCCCTTTATCGTACCCCAGACAGCTCGTATCCTGAAACGTCTCTCTCTTGTCTCCTGCCTTTGTGCTGGAAAGTGCTGGAGCCTCCATTCCACACCTGGGCCAGAATCTCTCCTGTTCGGTGATGGTCACACAAAGATTCTACTATTCCAGGCTCCAGCTTCCTCCGAGGCCTACCCAGGACCCCAGATGGGGATCTGAATTAACTTCTCTTAGCAGCCCAAAGATCTTTAGTCATAACAAGAATACCTTACAACCAGGGACCCCCAATACCTGGTAAATGACTCTGTGTGCTACTTTCTTGAGGCTGCAACAATAATCTGCTGACTAGGGGTTTTCTTTAGCCCCTCTGAGGACAGCTCACCCTCTCTCCAACCACACTTTCTCACCCAGCTTGGGAAACCTACCTTCCCCAGCTGTCCACCTGCCCATTCCACCCTTCACTCTTTCCCTTCCCACAGCCCAGCCGTGCACCACATCACCTGCCTGCTCACCGACTCTGACTGTGTGCAAGGCAGCGAATGGAGTCAGTCCTCAGTTGCCCCCCGGCCTCCCTTCAGGCTGATACTGTTGTTCTCGCTTCTTGGCAGTACATTCCTTAACATTGTCACTAATTTGCTTTTTCATATCTCCCCTGTGACACACAATGGGAATTCAAGATCTTGAAAGAACAGGGTTCTGTCTTAATAGCTTCTTCTCAACAGTCTCCCCACTCACCTTACATACAGACTCCGCTCACATCTGGGAATGCAAGGCTGAACACTGAGCAGTTTTCCTTGTAGCTTTTCTTCGGTTAAGGCTTTGGTCTACCTGACCTGAGAGTAACTATAAAGAAGGGGGAAGGTCAGATCCAGAAAGCGATTCCTTTGGAAGTTTTGAAAAATCTCCATGTACCTGACACTTCTATCACCAAGTGCAAAAGTACAAAAAGATACATTCCAAAGCCTACCGCAAGGATATTTGGGGATTCCGGTCAGTTTGTACGATTTGCTTTATTGCCTTTGTTTCAGTGGGTAATTGAGAGTTGAGTTGGCTCTTTCTGGGTAATTATGTGTCATATAGAATATAGATGAGATCTTTTAGTAACATGTGAGGGCGGCTAAACCTAGGTAAAAGGGCACCTGTCCTATCCTGAGAAATCCTCACACAATAGTCATATATCCACCTGCCCTCCCCTCTCTCTCTCTCTTTTTCTCCTTCTCTGAGCCCCTCCAGCTCTCTCTCTCTCTCTCTCTCTCTCTCTCTCTCTCTCTCTCTCCTCCAGCTCTCTCTCTCTCTCTCTCTCTCTCTCTCTCTCTCTCTCTCTCACACACACACACACACACACACACACACAGAGTCACCAGAATGTAGAGTTCTCCAGGCGGCATCCTCAAGGATCCCCTGGGTAACTTCAACTGTTTGGGATGAAACAGAAAGCAAAAACGAGCGTGTGACCCTTACAACCTCCTGCTGAGAGTAGTACAGACCAGGACCTTGCATCTGGCTATGCTTTTCTTAGGCACACGTCCTCTGTTACCTCATTGTATCCTCACAACAGCGCTGGAAGGTTGAAAGGGTAGCTCGCTGATGATAATTTGAGAAAGAGAAGGTCGGTGACGCGCTGAGGTCACACCGCCCTCCCGCGGTGTCCCTTTCCTGCCTGCTGCCCTGGCGGTGCAGTGGGCAGGTGGAGGCAGGAGACTGAAAAGTCTGCAGGGGACATTCTGTTTTTCCGTTTCTCCTGGTAGCCGTGGGGTGCCTTGGGTCAGCAAGAGGTATTCTTTTTTTTTTTCTCTCTCTTTTATCAGAATTGGCAACTGGCATATAGGAACTGAGCAAGTGCCACATCCCAGGTTCTTCGTGCTAACAAGATGAAGTGCCCGGGAGCCTGGTGGCTTTCTTCTTGTCCGTTCCCTGCTATACCTAGGTTTGATTTTTATGATGAGTCAGAGCTCCCTTGGAGGGTGCAGTACTCTGTGTTTAGGTCTTTAATTAGACGCAGGCATCTCAACCTGGCTGGAAGGCGTGCAAGCCTCCCCAAAGTTAGGTAGTTCACTCTCAACGCCCACTCCTCTCAGAGCCACATAGAGCTGCCAGGTGAGCTGAGCAGCCTGCAGCCAAGCCGCCTGGTACCTCCTGAGGCCTGTCCCCGGGCCAGCCACGTACAAGTCAGTGTGTCTGAATGTTACAGTGTGTGCATGCTGCCAGTGTTGCCTCCGGAGCTGGGAGGCGTGCTCCGTGCATGCGTGTTAGAGAGGCTCCAGGGATTGCTGGGGCCACTGTTCATGGGTAAGTGCGGTGTGATTTCTTCTCAGGCTGTGCTGTGAGGACCGCCTTAACCCCTGCTCCCTTCCCTCCGAGAGCTGCCTTAAGTTCTCTGGGAACTTCTCCTCTGTAAGGGACTGACTTACCGGGAGAGGGTATCTTGCCGTGTTTCTCAAGGTTTTGGGAGGGTTTTGGTTGGGCGTGGCCTCCAACCACGGATTCCTGTCTCTCCTTCCTGCATGATTATCCCTCCTGGGACTTCGCCTTCCTTTCTTTTCTGTGATTTCCAAACAGGTATCAGACCTCAGCACCAGTCTCAGAGCCGGTGAATGTGGGTGGAGAGAGTGGTCCTGAGTTTGGGGGGGCATTGTGTCACAAGGAAGCAAATGAACATATGGAAGAAAGAAGTTAGCTTCTTGGTAATGCTTAAATGGCATGTTTCCCCCTGATCTTTTCTTAATACAGGTAAAGGGTACAACTGTAAGACCTTCCATAGACATGCTTTAAAAAATTTTTTTAGGAACCCTGTACTATATATAAAAGTTTGAATGAAAACAGAGAAGAGTTATGTAAATTCTAATCCATTGCATTACCCCAAATTAAATCAACCTCGAGTTACATACAGTAGATTTCTCAATAGATCAGGAACTGAAAGGTACTTTGTAAAATAGCTCCCAAAATGCATTTTTGTACATTTTTTAATTTTCTAATTCGGTCTAGTGAAAATGTTCATTAGCTTAACTTCATGAGTGTCATTAGCTTCCTAAAATGACTGAAAATGACTAACGTTTCCTTAGTATTGTGATACAGCTTGAGATATTTGGAAGAAACATGTTTTTCGAATGGAAACTGGTATGTATAATTCAATGCTTGGTAGGTCAGTACATTTTCATGCATTTTGCAGTCAATAGTTTCAAATATCTTATTGTTACCATATGTTATAAAACTTTAGCCTACATTTCAGGCTCTCTAAATCACTTGAGCCATTTAATATTTTCCAACAAATGGTGACTTTTTCCTTTAAATGTGGATATGTATGTTGTAATTTATGATTGCTGGTTATGTATTTTTTGTGGACTCCTGGAGTAATTTTTTGCGTCCTTGGAAAATTTAAATTGCTCTACCAATGTTACACAGAAATGAGCTCATCATGACATTTAACATATTGTATTTGAATTGTTAATTTTAATTATTAATTTACTGTGAAATGGATATG